AAAAGCAGCCTAAAACGCGCGGTTTTTCTGACCGTTCATGCTTATGGCCGTGTTTTTTCGTATTTTTTTGCTAATACGTGATTTGTTTGCTTTGCGAATATTAAATTCATTTATAATACTATTGATATAAATTAAATTTGGTAGTATAACTAATATTTTGGGGCAAGATTTTTCTGATCGAAAAATGTGCAAATTTTGAAAAAAATTTTTAAAAAGGACTGGGTCTACCTACAAAAAAAGCTTCAAGCACAGCTTCAACTTCCCCCCCTGACTTAGCCTTCCAGTTATTTATAGTTCAATGGTTGGGCATTCCTTCAAATTTTCAAGTTTCAAATCTTTAATCTAGCAAATTTGCTACAGCTGTTTGCTTGGTTATATTTTCCACCCCTGCCCTTTTAAAAGGTCAGTGATATTTGAGAAGTGCCATCCTGGGTGATGTAAGTTGTTAAACCAAGTACTGGATATTGGACGTCAGTTTGCAAATCAATTTCTTAATAATTAGGAGTAGCAAGTTGGTGAATATTTTCACTCATGATTATCATGTCTAAAGTAGAAATGTGAGTGACGATATATTGCAATTATAGATATGGTCAATGGCTATCGGGATATTGCTTTGCATGTGTACATAGCTGTACATATATATAGCGAAAACAGTTCTTGTTCGTAAACCATTGCTTGAAATTATAGTTTTTAACCCTTTAAGTGGCAATGCACCCTACTTTAGTATTTTACTCTGCCTAACGCCAGACGATTTTACTCATCAAGTGGAGAGTGCTGCCACTCAATGGGTTAATAAGATTTAAACTATCTTCTGACAGTTTGCTGCTTTGCTGCTATTGCATTCAACAACTAGGGTTTATGAAGTGATAAAAAGAAGCAATGTTTTTTTTTACTTGTTTATTTAATTAAGTACTTCTTTTTCCCTTATTTACCTTAATTTGTTGTGTGTATATAATAAGAAATAAAACATGTATTATTAATTAAGTTGTTAGTGTAGCTTGTCATGTTAATATTAAATAAAATTAAAATTGAACCTGTGTGGACATTTATCACGATATTGAATACTGTGATAATTTCCTAGATGATAATCATGATATGATTCTCTCAATATCACTATATATCACAATATAACTCTAGAACTTGGCATCACATGTCTTCTTTGTTTAATTCAGGGGCGGATTTTCTGGGGGGGTGCAGGGGGGTGCGCACCCCCCCAAAATACTGTAGGTTATTATTATTATAGCTTTTATTTAAGAAACTTATACATTTAGCAGTAAGAGTACAACTTACTGATAACTTCAACAAATGAAATTATATCATATATTATACTAAGACAAGTATTTATAAAACTAGATATACTACGTAAAAACGTCTAAAGATTAAATATCCAAACGCATATTCAATTTTAGTAAAAAGACCAGATAAAAAGCTACGACTAAACTAAACTGCTTTGGTGAAAAAAAAAACAAGGTAGAATACTAAGCCTCAGAGACTAAGCCTAAAAATTCAGTGAAAAGGCTAAGTATAATCTAAGCTACGAGCGCAAGTCTAATTTTGGCGTGTGAAACGGCTGAATCGAAACCGCCGGAGAACAGTGGCAGAAGACGAACAAAGTCAATTTCCAGATCGTTGGTGAGGTTCTGACCAGCTTTTAAAAGTGTATTAGGCATGTTGAAAATATCAAATAAAGAAAGAAAACCGGAGGGAAAGCGACAACAAAATATGAAAACTTTGTGCTTCGTCTTTTGACTTTCTGTTGTTTTATGAAACACCAGAAATCAGAAGTTCATAAAAATTGCTACGAGAAATGGAAGTCCGAATATCAGATAAATAGATATAGATGGTTTAATAAAAATAATAAAAATTTAATAAAAAACGTTCATTCAAGACGGACATTCAATACGAGCTGACTCGAACTCTGGATTCAATTAACAACATCAAAGACGAGGACATATTAATTGAGTCGAAAGAAATTTCAAGAAAGACTGGAAACCCCTTACTTAGCTCTCTGCGATACAATGCCTATCCACAACACTAGAGCTACAACAGTTACGACTTACGACTCCCGATGATCAGATAAAATAATTTATTGGAGAACTCAACGTAGAGCAGAAGAAGAAACTCAACGACGAGTTTAATGTCAGATTTGACTCTAAGAACAAAGACATCCTTAATGCTATCAATGCTCTTAATGCCGGTTCAGATACCTACTGTGAGCTAGATGCGCTACTGAATACTTTCAACGGTCTCAATGATTGATATATCTATCCTTGAACTAGAAATCGAAAGAGCTGAAGTTGATTACCGTCTTGTTCTACCAACAAATCCAAAGAGGCTTGCAAACTCGACCTCTTTAATTGCAGTTAAGAACACCATCTCGACATCAACCGCTTCAGTGAAAAGAGCATTTTCCGGCATGAATCGTATCTGCACGAAGCTACGATCAACCATTCGTCCAGAAAGATTAAGTGATCTTTTATGCATTTCGTTAAACAGAGATGTTGTTGATTTGCTGGATTTGGACGAAGTCGTAACCGCATGGGGGAAACATGCGCAATAGGTGGGCTAAAGTCATTAAGGTTTAGTATATGACACCTTTTTTGGCGTTTTGCGGAGAATCGCTACTGCACGCTCAAAATCAGTCCGATTTTCATCAAATTTTCACCAAGTGTTTGCCAGCACATGCAAAATATGGTAAAGTTATAAAATTAACAAACAATAAAATAATGTAAGAATTATTCAGGAAAATCTTAAATCGCAGTACCATTACGCTTTCAAGTTGTGCTCCTGCTGGTTTTAAGTTATATTTATGAAAATATGATTTTTAAACAGTAAAATAGTTGTTCTAAAAAATTGTGTTCAGAAATTTTTGTTTATTTCGTCATTCCGCTGATATGGCGATTTCTTTGACGACTGCAATATATTTCTGAATTGTTCAGTTGAGTGAATTGCTCTTTATTATTAAAATATCCAAAATTAGAACAAAGCCGAATACAATTTTGAAACTGACGACTTTAGGTTTGTCCTGTGACAATTTGAGAAACATTGGCTGAAACCCGAAAAATTCTTCGGGAGAAAATTGAATTTGAATATTACATTTTCAATGTTTTTCTTATTGCAGCGAAATGTATTTTATTAAATAATTCTGCGATTTTCAACATTTTTCGTTCAAACTTCGTCAGGTAGTAGAACTAGTCTAATGCTATCATGGAAACCTGTAAAAAAAATTTAGGCAAAATTAACACTCAAAGGTGTTCTGTAACCTTAACTAACTAGTCTAACTGTATAAAATGTATAATGTACTTATTACTAAATTGAGAACTTG